GGCAAGATTGGAATGAATGTTGTCAATAGTGGGTGCAAGAAAAATGGGGCATCTAGCAGTGCTTTTGCTTGTGTGCATATAGAATATATCAAAAAATATACCCAGGAAGTTATTAACAGTGCCTGGCTCTGGGAGGGTGGCTGGGCAGGAGGAGACTGTCTTTCCCACAGTAAACCTGTTTGCACTGAATGAATATTTGGAACTGTGGCTATAGTAGCAGATGATGGACCAGTAGGTAATTTTTTCCCATATACAATATTAACCTTGGGTCTTTTCAAAGGTATATATGAATGTGGTAGAGTGACCTAAGTAGCTCATAGAGCTAATACCCATAGAGGAACTGTGTAGGTAAATGATAAAATATATTTACAACCTGAAATGGGCTAGGGAGAAAAATACAGCTGACGGGTGACAAGAAATATTGGGAGGTTCTGTTAGATATTTGATGAGGTGGTCAGCTGTGACATTTGACATTGGAATAACGGGCTGAAGGAGGTGGGGGACAGTCATGCAGGTGTCCAGAAAAGAGCATTCCAGGTGGAGGGAATAGCCCATTCAAAGGTCCTGGGGTGGAAACATGCCTGGAGTGTTCAGGGCACAGTGAGAGGATCAGTGTGGCTAGAAAAGAGTGAGTGAAGGGGAAAGCAAAAGGGAGAGGTGAGGTCAGAGAGGTGATGGGAGCCTTGGTGGCTACTGTGGTCATAGGTGCCTCTGACTTACCTCACTCTGCCCTCCTCCCTCTGCTATAGAGTTTCCCGATCCAGGAAACACTCACCACTCCCATGCTGCCTTCAGAGACCCAGGAGACCCCAGGCCCCACCCTGTGCAGGTGATACCCCTCCCCCACCCACCATCTGCCACCCCTGCCCACTGTTGCCATCCCCACCAGTGTCCTTTTTCCACAGCCCTCTGGGGAAGTCACCCTTGACCCTTGAGGATTTCAAGTTCCTGGCAGTGCTGGGCCGGGGGCACTTTGGGAAGGTGAGGTGGGGGCCGAAGTGCTGGGAGGCTAGGAGGCCAGACTCCTGAGTCCCTGGGCTGGCTGCTAAGGTCACCCCTGTCCACTGGGGTTCTTCCAGGTGCTGCTTTCTGAATTCCGGCCCAGTGGGGAGCTGTTTGCCATCAAGGCTTTGAAGAAAGGGGACATTGTGGCCCGAGATGAGGTGGAGAGGTGAGGACCCTGCTTAGGCCCTCTGAGAACCTCAGTCTTCTCCTCTGGGAAATAGGAGACAGGGCATCTTTTCCTCGGAGCTGCTGTGACAGTGATTCATAACAGTACTGGCACTTACTAAGCTGGTGCTCCCAAGCTAATAATAACTCTTAGAAAGCACTCACTATGCACTTTATGTTCTGAAACCCATTTGTTCCCCATGACAGCCTTATGGGGTAGATACTGTTACTGCTCCCATTCTGCTGATGGCATAGACAGGTGGAGCAAGTTTTCCAAGGTCACAGCCAGAGAGCAACAGGTCTGGGATTCAAACCTAGGGACTCGGGCTCTGAAGCCTGTGCTTTGGGGTCAGGGTCCTGGGGTTCAAATCTGCCACCGACGTGCTTAGAAACTCTGGGGAAGTCACTTTGCCCTTCTGAACCTTTGGTTCCCCATCAATAAAAGGGGAGTAATGATGTCTTTTTGAAGGGTCATTGGGTAGATTAAATGAAAGGATGTCTAGAGGATTCTACACAGTGCCTACCCCCTGTAAATGCTCAGTAGAGGCACTGAGATTGTTCCCAGTTTCCCTGACATCCTTTTGTTAATCAGTAACCCAAGTCAGACAGGTATAAGCAAATAGAGGAATTTATTGCCCCAGATCGGAAAAGTCTAGAAGTGGGCTGCTTTCAGGTATGGCTGTAATGAGGTGCTCAGATGTCTCTCAGTTCTGTTTCCCTTTGCTTGCAGTGCCCTTGTGGGGGCAGGGATGCCCCCTACCCTAGCAGTTTAAGCATCATCCACCAGCTTTATCCCTTCTTCCTTAAGAATTCTGGCAGAAATCCTGAGATGGAGCTTCACTGGCTTGGCTTGCCCATCCTGAACAAATTCCTAGCCAGGAAAATGAGGTGCTGCAATTGATCCATGCCTGGCAGTTCCCCAAAGGGAAGTTGCAGGGCTGTTACTAGGATGACAGACGGATTCTGGATGCCTGTTTAGCCAACACAGCTACTGAGGTTCAGAGATATTAAGCACCTTTCCCAAGGTTGCACAGACATGTGAAGCCCTTAGCAAATATCTGATGATTGAAGATTCTGGGCAGTGTGCGATTTGGGGGTAGAGGGCTGCCGTGGTCTCTGACCCCTGCCCTCCACCCTGCCCAGCCTGATGTGTGAGAAGCGGATTTTGGCGGCTGTGACCAACGCGGGACACCCCTTCCTGGTAAACCTGTTTGGCTGTTTCCAGACTCCAGACCACGTATGCTTTGTGATGGAGTACTCGGCCGGCGGGGATCTCATGCTGCACATCCACAGTGACGTGTTCTCTGAGCCCCGCGCTGTGTGAGCCCAGCCCCGCTAACAACTTGACCCCAAGAGGCTGGCAGTCCCCTTCCCACCCATACCCCCACATGCCCCATCTCCCTTCAGCCTCCTGGAGTTGTGGTGACTGGGGGGCTTTTGAGGATGCGGGAGCCAGGCCTGTGTGGCCTTCCCCCCTTGCTGAGAGGCCTAGCTTCCTCACACTGGCCTCTCTCTGCAGTTTCTATTCAGCCTGCGTGGTGCTGGGGCTGCAGTTTCTGCACGAACACAAGATTGTCTACAGGTATGTGCCTCTGTGCGTGCATGTGCTTGTGCATACACGCTTTGTCCACTTGGGGGCCCTCAGGCTTCAGGCAGGACCCAGATTTCCCACTCATCCCTCTTTACGTCCCCCAACCCCTCACAGGGACCTGAAGTTGGACAATTTGCTCCTGGACACCGAGGGCTATGTCAAGATCGCAGATTTTGGCCTCTGCAAGGAGGGTGAGGGGCGGGGCTGGGATTTGAGGGTCCGGCCTCTGGGGATTAGACAGAGCTGGGAGGGAATGGAGTCCCTGGGAATCCCCAGGTTTACCTCCCACCCTGACCCCAGGGTGGGATTGGCTTTCTGGACCACCCCATGCTGGGCTGCGCTAGAGCTAGGAGCCCCTCCATAACCTCACATGACCCTCTTGCCCTTAGGGATGGGCTATGGGGACCGGACCAGCACATTCTGTGGGACCCCGGAGTTCCTGGCACCTGAGGTGCTGACGGACACGTCATACACGCGGGCTGTGGACTGGTGGGGGCTGGGCGTGCTGCTCTATGAGATGCTCGTTGGTGAGGTGAGCCCCCAGGCTGCCCCACTCTGCCTGTCCCTAGGATCCCAGTGGGAGCAGAATGTGCCTCTACTGTGTGCTGTGTCATCAGGGCAGGTGGCTTCAGTGCCCATATCTGTAAAATGGGTATTTCCCATGTAAGCCAGCACCCATGTGAAGGTGCAGCCTGAGCAGAGGGCTTGGGTGGGGCTGGGTGTGGAATGGCCAATGGAGGGGCCTATTTCACCCTGGCTCTCCCTGTCCCCAGTCCCCATTCCCAGGGGACGATGAGGAGGAGGTATTTGACAGTATCGTTAATGATGAGGTTCGCTACCCCCGCTTCCTGTCAGCTGAAGCCATCGGCATCATGCGCAGGGTGAGGACCCTGCTGACTCGATGTGGGGCTAGGGAGGGGCCCTGGGGGCGGGAAGGGGAAAACAACATGCTCCCCACCCCACAGCTGCTGCGGAGGAATCCTGAACGGAGGCTGGGGTCCACTGAAAGGGATGCAGAAGATGTGAAAAAGCAGCCCTTCTTCAGGGTGAGGCCCCCACGTGCCTCCCCCCGAGGACTTGTGATCATGACTCCCCCCATAAGACCTGGTCACTTCAGCACCAACATTGTCACCCCCTTTCTTCCGCCTTCCTCTAACCCAGTGACCCTCCTACACTAACATCTACCTCAGGCTGGTTCGGTGGAGACCATTGCCCTGTATATGAGCCCAGAAACCCCCACACACACACTGCTCACCAGAACACCCCACGCGCACACTGGGATCCTTCCTAAGCCCCAGTGTTCCCACTTTCCCCTCCATCTTGTGACCCCTTATGCTGATCCCCACAAATCCAGGCTGGTTGGTGCACACAGGGCTGGCTCCTCCTGCACTCTGTGCCTCCAGTTTCCCATGCTCACCTCTTCTCTCCCCTCTCCATAGACCTTGATTTGGGACGCCCTGCTGGCCCGTCGCCTGCCACCTCCCTTTGTGCCCACTCTGTCGGGCCGCACCGATGTCAGCAACTTTGACGAGGAGTTCACAGGGGAGGCCCCCACGCTGAGCCCACCCCGCGATGCACGGCTCCTCACAGCCACGGAGCAGGCAGCCTTCCGGGACTTCGACTTTGTGGCTGGGGGCTGCTAGCCGTTTCCCCCGCCCCTGCCCCAACCGAGCTCTTAGTTTTTAAAAAAGCCTTTGAGGTTTGCCCCAACCATGCATCCTTAGCTCTCTGTGTGCAGTACAGGGTGTGCTTGGAAGTGGGGAGAATTTGGGGGGGTGGGGGTGGATCCAGTGGGTGGCCTGGGGTGTCGGGAGTGATGGGGAGATGCATTAAGTTATGGTGGGGGGTTATTTGAAGAGGGTCAAGAAAGGGTGGGAACTCCGTGACGTTAGTTGGTGGTAGGTCACGATGGGACGGGACTCAGGGACGTCGGAATGGGATGTGTTTGGGGGGTAGCACCTTGGGGCTGTGTTAGGGGAGCTCAGGGCTACAATGAGCGACGCTTTCGGGAGTCTGTCCTGGTGGCAACAGGGGCAAGAAGCGCCCCCCAATCCCCAAGCTCAGCACCTAGCAAAGCCAACTCCCCGGCGTTGCAGCCGTAGCGTTCTGCGCATGCTCCTGCGCCTGTGCGTCCCCACGGGCCAAGTCCCGGAACTGCACCCCCTGGGGCGCACACGGCGCCTCTCGAGTCCCTGCGCCATCAAGGTGCCGCAAGCCAGACGGTACACACGGCCCAGGGTTTGTGCACAAAATGGCTTTATTCCCCGAAGGCTCCGCACTGCGGACCTGGGCCCGGCCCGGGGTGGTCTGGCTTAGCCACTGGGATTCTGGGCGCGCTTAGAAGTAGCTGAGGCCACTGTGCCGGGAGCTGCGCAGCGAGCTGGCGTCCCAGGCGCTCCTAGTTAGACCCAGCCCTGCAGGGCTGTCCTTGGCGCTAGCCCTTGGGGGCAGGAGGCGAAGCAGTTGGCGCAGCACGGCCTGGCGTAGCAGGATGTACACCCAGGGGTCTAGGATCTGGTTCCAGGAGGCGAGGCGCACGGCCAAAAACAGTGGCCGCTGCAGGGAACTGGTACCCCAGCCCCCGACAGCCAGCGCCACCAACACCTGCGGGAGAGTCCCGTGTGAGTGACAGGCGGGTGTAAGAGAATGGGACCGGCGAGGGGTGGGGCTGGGATGGACAGGAGCTTGGCCGGAAGATCAGAGGGCTATGAGGAGGGGCGGGGCGTCTTAGGGAGGTGGTAAATGTGCGTCTTTGTGGAAGGGAACTATGAAACAAGGGGCCAAGAAGCCTTGCCTTAGAGGGCGTGGCAGAAGCAGAGGCCTCCGGCCAGATAGGGTTTAGGAGTGCAAAGAAGGAGGGACGTTCCAGGTACCCCGAAGGACAGGGGACAGAAGGGGAGAAGAGAAACGGGGTGGGTAAGGTAGAAGGGGGCTGGAAAATGAAGCGTCGGGCTACAGGAGTGTAGCTGAGGAGGAGGCTTGCATGGGCCGGGGTGCACTACAAAGACCCCGATGGAGTGAGATAAGGGGGCTGGGAGGAGGGGTGGACGTCAGAGGGAGCGGGGAAAGAGAGAGAGGACCCAGGTATCTTTAAGATGCACAAGGTAGGAAGGGTCTAGGAGGGAGCGGAAAGGAGCATGGATGCGGGGGCGTGTGCGCCCCTCACCAGCAGCGGGCTCCAGCAGATAGACGACACCGCCATGATACCCACGAGCTGGCCCACCATCTCTACGTCGTGGGCGCGGGTTCTGCGCGCCGAGCCACGGCCCGGGAAGCCGCCGGGGGCGGCAGAGGCCGAAGCGACCGAAGAGGCGGATGAGGCGGAGGCAGTTCGGGCCCCGCGTGTCCCCCAGCGGCGGCGGCTGTCAGGGCCGGAGGCCGGGGACCGCCGTCGAGAGCGGCGGCGCCACCGGGCGCGCAGCAAGGCCAGGCCGCTGAGCGTGTTGCACACGAGCGCGGCGAGCAGCGCGGCCAGGCCGAGGCCAGCGAAGAGGCCAGCGAGCAGCGCCTGGCGCCAGCCGCCCGCCGGGCCCAGGCCGATGAAGCACCAGGTGCCCGGGTACTGCAACTCGTAGTGGCCCACGCGTGCCAGCGGCAGCAGCGCTACGGCCAAGGCCACGGCGGCCAGCGCAGCCAGAGCCAGGCGCGCACGGGCCACCGACACCCGCGCCGCGTGCAGCAGTGGCTGCGTGACGCCCACGCAGCGCTCCACGGCCATGCCGCAGCCCAGCAGCAGCGGGCACAGGCCGAAGAAGACCATGCAGCCGCCCAAGAAATGGCAGGCGCCGCCAGCAGGAGCGCGCCCCGCGGCGTACAGACGCAGCACCAGAGCGCCCGGGATCACGTGGCCCGCCAGGTCGGTAGCCAGCAGGCTGGCGACGAAGAGCAGGAAGGTGGCGGCTGAGCGGCGGCGCCGCAGTCGGCCGGCGGCCTGCGCCAGAAGCGCCAGCGCCAGAACGTTGGACACGGCGCCCAGCGTCATAGAGAAGATGGGCAGCGCCGGCGACGCGCCCGCCAAGCCAGAGGGCGGCCCCGCCGACGCGTTGGGGGCCCCGGGCGCTGCACACGTGGTCGCCTCGCCCGCCAGGCTCAGGTTGAGGGGCCCGCAAGGACTCATATCAGGTGCCGGGGGTGGGGCTGGGAGAGGAGAAGAGGGTGAGGTGAGGCTGGCTGCGGGCACAGCGCCGACCATGGGGCTGGGACAGGCCAGAGGTCCTATCTGGGATGTTCTTCTGTGGGCCATCTGCCCACTGCAACTCCAGATGACCCCGGCTGCCCTATTCCTACACCTTCTTCCTCCTCATCCTCGCACTATCCTAGCTCCATCCACCACGGCACCCCTGGCTCCAGCCCTCATTGTCTCTGTCCCCACCCCTGGGCCTCAGGGACCCACCCGACACCCACCTCCCCTTTTTACACCACAGCAAATTCCTGGCCCCCGATTCCTGCCACCCCTTCTCTGACCATCACTGTGTCACCTTACTCCAGTCCCATCCTTGTGGCTCACAGCCCCACCTCTGCTGCCTGGTCACATTGCTCCCCACCAGTCTCTTTCCCATTGCCATATGTGTCCCCACAGCCCCATCCCTGTCCTAGCTCCATCCCTGTGTGCATAGACCCATCCCTGTCCCTAGGGCCCCATCTCTAAGTTCCATTGCTGGCCCTCACCCAGGCCCTACCCTGCCCACCGTATCTGCCACCTGGTTCCACCTGCCCACTCCATGTCCCTGCCCCAGGCAGACTCAGTGCCACACATTCTTTGATATCTCTGTGGTGAGGGCTGAACTGCCCATTTGGCCGATGGGGAGGACAGACAAAGACCCACAACAACAGACTGATAACAGCCGTGGCCCCATGCTTCCATGCCCTCCCCCATGCCCAGGACCCCGGGAGCCCCAGACTTCTTACCAGGTGCTGCCTGGGACACAGGCCCCCCATCGCCTGCTGCTTGGTCCCTGCTGCCCGCTAAGCTGGCCTGCTGCACCCAAGCTCTCGGCAGGCCGCTCCCTCCGGCCCCCCCCTCCCCTCCCTGGGCGGCTCCTAGGCTCTCTGCCTCCTCCCGCCACCGACAGGGCCTCCAGGGGCTGCTCCACCCAGTGCACGCCTGAAGCGAACCTGGGGCGTCAGAGACCCCCCTCCCTATGCTCCTGGCCCCCAGGCCCCCCCCAGGAAGGGGGGCTCCCTGGGAGTTGGCCTGGACCCCGTGACCCCCTCCCCCTGGTGGGGCGGGAGCAGCCCTCTTCCCACCCAGGCACGGGCCTTTTGCCTGCCTCATTAATAACATGGATAAAATCTAAACACTGGAAAATGTGAGCGACGCCTGGGGCAGCTGGGGTGGCTGCAGGGGGTGCCGCTGCTCTCATGGGGATTGTGAGGTCAGGGGTAGGGGGGTTGGCTAGCCCTGCCAGAGCCTTTGTGGGTGGTGGGTGGTGGTGTCAGTGCCCTGGGCGGACCAGCGTGGGTATGTGCAGCATGGCCACGAGATCCAGCCACTACACACACAGGGGCTTAAAGCCCAGGCCAGGGCCACAGGGAGTCAGACACAGGGAGGAGGGAGGCAGGAAAGCTGGCAGGGTACTCTCCTGGGTCCTGCTTCAGGATGTGGTGAGCAATACCTGGGACGGATGCATCCCAAGCCACACCTGTGGACAGCCACACCTGTGAACACAGCTACAGCCTCACCTGTGGCCTTGCAGAGGCACACCCAAGGGGCACACACACACACAGCCATATCCCTTAACAGCCTAAGACTAGCCACCATCAGTGTCCCCAGCACAGCAGCAGCCATGTTCTTCAGAGCTTGGGGCCACAGCCATCCTTGGCCCCAGAGCCAGAGCCACGTCCAGTTACTCTAACTTCTGTCAACACCCTGAAACACAGCCCCCCAGGTGACCAGCACACACCTCGGTGTGTCACCTAGTACCCTGAGAGACATGCACCATGCTTACCTGTGAGATAGTCCCCCAGACATGCCGTGCATCACCCGGAGACACCTAACCATCCAAGACAGACCCCACAGTGCAAGGAGTGTCACCCCCAGACACTCCCACCTAGGAATAGGAACACCCAGCAGTACACACCCTCATGGCCCGGGGCACCCCGAGGTGCACTCACACAGCCACACTCCACACACACACTGCCACTTACATTCACAAACACCCTGGGACCTGAAGACTGTTGTCACACCAACAGTCACAAACCACCACCACTCAGACACACAGGCCTACTCTCAACACAAGACTCAACAGTTGCTACTCAGCTATTAGTGCAGGCACACCCACAGGTGCCCCGGGATGTCTGGGGTAACCCCGATACTAGCGGTCCCCATGGCACCCAGAGGACACAGGCTGTGCACACACACCCAGCCCAGCTGGTCCTCCCTGCTCCCCTCCCAGGCGGCCTGCCTGGTGGAAATGGGGAGAGGGCTGGGCTGACTTCCCTTCTCCGCTTACCCCCAAACATTCCTGCAGGGACCTCTGGCCTGGCTCCCTTCTCGATCCCCTCCCTTCTCTCCAGGTCTGGCCAGGGTCCCACCTCTCCTTTTCCCTGATCCGCCCCTCAATCCTCAAGGATGAAGTGGGTTGTCAAAACAAGCACACTGGGTGTATGTCCAGAGAAAAGCATGGTGCGCCCTGGACGCCAGCAGACCCCACACATCCAGTCAGCTGGGGTGGGGGCAGTGCTGTGACTGCTTCCCCGGGGCTCGGGACTGGGGCTCCTCCCACAGCACTTGCCCAGGCAGGCCTGAGGCCCCCTCTTAGGCCCATGCCAGTCTTCCGTGCCAGTGGGCATGGGCTGCCAAAAGCCTTGGGCCCACTGTTCCCATCAGCCTCGGTGGCAGGCAGCCTCGTTCAAGAGGAACAAGATTTGAACCCTCAGTAGGCCGAGAAGCTTCAGCCTTGCCTGGAAGCCCAGTGGCCTGCTGCCAGGAACCTCCTCAGGCGGAACAGTGGGAGGGGGTGGACGGCCCAGGCCAGCTCCTAATTCAATTTGGAGCCTGGGGAGGATGGATTTCAGCTGCTACATTCTTTCCCAGCGCTGGCCCACCCCCCTCCCACCCAAAGCCACCACACAGGTCCAACAGCAGATAGGTTCTTTATGTTCAAGACAGCAAATTCAGATACAAAAGTCCACCTCGGAGGTCCCTCCTGCCCCTTCCATCAGGGGCTGGGCGGAGGGGGACACTGGGGAGTGGGGGGGAAGGGAGGGTGGGGGTTCACAGCAGATTCCTGTTTCAAATGCAGAGGTAACAGATTCCATGGCGAGGGGACTCCTCTGGGGGGAGGGCAGTAGGGGGAAGGGTATTATTGCATTTGCTGAGGGCAGGCGCCCCCCTTCTCCACTCCCTGCGTCAGGGAACTGGGGAGGTCACGACCCCCAAATAGACCCAAGGCCCCAGGGAGACAAAGGGACCAGTTTGGCAGCTGATGCAGAAAGTGTTAGGGGTGGGGGTGGCTTCCCACTCTGTCCGGTCCCTCCCTGCGCCTGACCCTGCTGAGGTAGGGGGTAACAGGGCAGGGGGTGCTGGGGACCCCAGCCAGGCTGGGAGCCAGGGAGGGGTGGTACCAATTGGAGTGGGGCAGGGGCCCCGCCCCCACCCCACCTCCACTCCGTATCGTCCGCGGTGGACACGGGTCCAGGCCGTGGTGCCCTCCCCTACGCCCTGAGAGGCTCACACCAGGCCAAGCCAGGCCACTGAGAGGTCCAGCAGGAGGCCTAGTAGCGGCCGACCTTGGCGTCCCCGATGGCACCCCAGACGTCAAAGACAAATTCGTCAGGGAAGGCGAAGTCGCCAAGCCTCTCGTCCAGCGCCTCAGCCAGCTCATCCGGGTTCTTTTTGTCCTTTCCGAGTTCCACCATGGTGGCCGCTGGACAGGGACAGGGAGCAGAATGGAGGCACAGATCGCAGCCCCACAGGACCTAGATGCCCCCTCCCCTGAGCTCCTGCCCACCCCCAGACCCAGGTGACCCCACTCACCCAATTCTGTGTCCCTGATGCCCATGTAACTCTCCAGAAGGTCATCTACCTTCTCAACTGCCTTCTCCTCAAAGGCAGAGGGCTGCGGAGAGGTGTGGGGGAAGACAATGACGTCACAATCATGGGAACCAACTGTAACTGTACTTATGTTTTTCACCACTTTCCATCTATTAACCCACAGCTCCTCACACCAGCCTTGGAAGTATCATCCTCCCACTTTACAAATGAGGAAATTGAGGCCCAAGAAAGGTCCCAGAGCTGGGCAGTGGCAGGAGATTTGAACCCAGGGCCCCTGGCTCACAGGTGGTGTGGCCAGCTATGAATGTGCTGGGACAAGGGGCCGGGGCCCAGTGGGGTGACTCACCAGATCCTCCACTGTGGCGGGGCCCCGGGATCGCAGCCGGAGGGTCCCTCGGCCAGTGCCCAGCTGGGGACCAGAGCCAGGGCGGCCACCCCCTGAGCGCCCGCTGATCATGTCTGTAGGAGCAGGGAAGGGGTGACGGTCGGGGAAGCCCGATTCCAGTGTGCTCCAGGCAGGAACCCAGGCATCCTGGCCTCAGACACCTCCCTCCCCACCTTCTCCAAGCTTCTGCAGGTTGTTGGGGGAGTTCGGGGGCTGAGGTGACCCCAGGAAGGCAGAATGCCTGACTCAGGCCTGGCATGAATGTGGGAGAGGCAGCCAGGGGCTAGTGATGGAAAAAGCTGGAGGGGAGATGGGAGGGGACCACTTCTGCTCCCAGGGGCTGAGGGACGGGAAGGCGGCGGGGCCTGGGGCCTGGGGCCTGAGTCTGAAGCTGCTTTCCCCAAGGCCAAGAGGGGTATAGCTGCTGGGCCATGGATCAGCCCTATCTGCCTGGGGAAGTATTTAGAGTCCCCCACCTCCACTCCAGGGGCCTCGGGCCCATTCCTAAGAGTTAGTGAAGCCAAATGGTGAAGTGGGGGCACTGACATAAGGCAGCCAAGCCTGGCTTCTGGGGGCTGGAGGGCTGGCCAGGGCTGGGGGCACTTGGCTGGGCTAATGGCTCCTGGAAACTGGGTGTGGGGGCAACTTCCTCCTTGTCGGTGCCCTCCTCACAGGCTGGGCGGAGGGCCAACACCCCTCCCCAGAGCAGGGTGGAGCTGCCCCCGCTCTGCCCACTGCAGCTGTCTGGGCTTGGACGCCACCTCCTGGTGGTCCCCTGGCACTGCAACCGGGAGCTAAGGAAATAAGAGATCATGGTGATCCTGGCTGCGGGCCCTCACCAAAGGCCTTGCGGGGCTCTGTGAGCTTCAGCGTGAAGGTGCGGCCTCGAGGCAGCTCCTTGAGCAGCCGAGCCACCTCATAGTGCCGGCAGCCCAGCAGGCTCTGCCCGTTGATGGCTTCAATCATGTCGCCTACGCTGACGAGCTGGATGTGGTCAATCACGCTGCCCTCCTTAATGCGCTGTGGCCCGGGAGAGGAGTTGTCAGCTCCCATGGCCCGACCCTTGGGTCCTATGGCCCACCCTTCCCCTCAGGACCCTGGGTGCCCAGGCCACTCCCAGGGACCTTGATGAAGGCATAGCCGGCCCCATTGTCGGTGATGGTGAGGCCCAGCGCCTCCTCTGACTTGAACACCTCCACCTCCTTGCGCTGCCCCTTGACATGGGCAAAGATGAAGTCCTCCAGCCCGATCTGACCCCCAAGGAGCTTGTCCATGTCCACTTTGTGGGTGTTGAGGGTGCAGAACATCACCTGCAGGGGAGGGAGATGCTCAACCCTCACCTCTGCCTCAGCTCTGCAGCCAGATCCTGTTCTATCTCCCTACCACCTTCCTCATCCCCCTTCCTTCAGCCCCCAAGTCCCCAGGGTCAGGCCTCCCAACGAACCATGAAGAAATCAGTGTTGCATCTGACCTCCAACCCGACAATCTGCTGGGGCACGAGCCTCCCCACAATGCATGATGGAAATGTGGCATTCAGCCCTGGCCATCATTCCCATAATCCACTGGGGCACAGGCCTCCCGGAGCCTGATGGGAGCTCAGCATCCAGTGGTGGCCATCAGCCTCCACAATAAACTGGCGCATACAGGCCTCCCAGTGACTGTTGGGAACTCAGCACCCAGGCCTGGTCTCCAGTTTCCCTGAAATTCAATGGGACACAGGAGGCATCCCCATACCTGATGGGCTCTCAGCACCCAGGCCTAGTATCCATTCCCTACAATTCACTGGGGCACAGCTGCGGCTCATGAGCTGGACGCACACCCAGACCACCATCAGAGACCCCGTGCCTGATTCCCAGTAGGTACCTCTGCAGCCGGCAGTCGGAAGGCCTCAGCAATCTTGCCGTATAGCTCCTTGACGTTGGAGAAGCCCTCGATGCGGCCAGTGGGACTGCCGTGGGCCAGCTGGGTGTGGAACACGAGGCGGGGCCGCAGGGCTGGGGGAGGGGGGGGCAAGCCCATCTGGGGCCCCCCTGCCCCACCTCCACCCAGGGGACCCGGCTCCCCCACACCCAGCCCTCCACGGCCTGGCTCGGCTTCCTCATTTTCCACCAGAGGTGGTGCCTTTTTCCGCCGCCCCAGTCCCAGCGGCATGTGCAGTGAGTAGAGGGGGGCACGCCCAGGAGATCTGCAGGGTGGCAGAGGGGGCTCAGGCCTGGGCAGCAGCCTTGGGCCACCTCTCCCACATTATTAGCTCCCTACAGGCCCAATGCATAATTAACCAACCAGCTCCCAGCACTTACACACTTGTACAGAAATAATAATAGCAGTCAACAACTACTAACTGCTCTATGACCTTACTTAATCTGCACACCACTACATGATGTGGGGACCATGTTATGCTGATTATGCTCATTTCACGGATGAGAAAATGGAGGCTCGGAGTGGTTAATTTTTCTGTTAGCTGCAGTCATTAGTGCTGTGTGCAAAAAATTTCCAACTCTCCCTTCAAAGCATATTGGCAGATGGCACTCACTGACCTCCTTGTGACCAGGCAGGCATATAGCTAGTTCTGGCCAATGAGTTGTGAGAGGAAGTGACACATGACATTTCTGAGCTGAAGCATTTAATTACTGGAGCAAGAACCTCCGGAGGTCCATTTCTCCCTGGCAGAGTGGAGGTATGATTTCAGCCACATCTGATAAGGTGGCAACTCCCAGGCCGAGTGACTACAATGAAGGAATTGTTTGCTAAGCTGCAATGGACAAGTAGCAGGAATGAAAAATAAACCTTTGTTGCATTCAGCCACTAAGACTTTGGGGTTGTTTGTTACTGCACCAAAACCTGTCCTGACTGATACACTTTTTTTCCTTCTCCACCCACTCTTGTTGTTTCTTTGTTTCTCTCTTTCTCCCTCCTCCAAACAAACATTTTTTGGACACTTACTATATTCCATGTACCATTTTTTTTTGGTATCATTAATCTACAATTACATGAAGAACATGTTTACTAGACTCCCCCCTTCACCAAGTCCCCCCCACATACCCCTTCACAGTCACTGTCAATCTGCGTAGTAAGATTCCATGCACCATTTTATATACTGCCTTCAATAAGGCAAGCAAGGTCCCTGACTAGGGCCACCATGTGCAGTTACACAGGTTGTTCACTGTGCAAAAGCACCAGCCCCAGGTGAAAATCAACCTGTGTTCTGCCTGCCAAGGTACAATCCCTAGTGTGGTGATGTGTCTGCTGGGAGGAAGGGCTGTCTGCTTCAAATTCACTTCTAGGGCTTTCTAGGCTAGTTGGGGCTCTGTCTATACTGTCCAGAAGCATACAGTCCAGAGGAAAAGACACACAGTGAATAAGCAAATGTGCAAATGTCTAATGTACAGTTGGCCCTAAAACAACATGGATTTGAACTACGCAGGTGCACTTTTTTATTTTCTTATTTTTTTCAGAAATGAAATACTTCGATTTATGTATTTTAATCAGACAGTATTTTCCTTTCTGTGTATTTTTATATTATATCTAAGCTTATTAGAAAGGTCTCATTATTCCATATAGGTCAAATAAATACATGTTGAATATTCTGCTAGATTTCTCCATTAAAATATGTTAAATGTGACTATTTTATGCAGGTGCACTTTTATGTGGACTTTTTTCAATAAATATACTGGAAAACTTTTTAGAGATTTGCAACACTTTGAAAAAAACATTTTCTCTGGTTTACTTCACTGCAAGAACACAGTGTATTACACATATCACGTACAAAATATGTGTTCACCAACTGTTCATATTATCATATCATATTAAGGCTTCTAGTCAACAGTATCGATCAGTGGTTAAGGTTTTGGGTAGTCAGAAGTTATATGTAGATTTTTTACTTGTGGGGAGTCAGTGCCCCTAGTCCCCACATTGTTCAAGGGTCAGCTGGAATTTCTAGCAGTGCTATGAAGACAATAAAGCAAGATAAATTCTATAGTCAAGGTCAAGGAAGGCCCCTCTGAGTGGGTGAAGCTGAACCTGACACCTAAATAACAGGGAGAAGTAGCTATATGAGGATGTGAGATGAGACTATTCTGGGCAGAGGAAACAGCCAATGCAAAGGCCCTGAGGTGGGGATGTGCCTGGCATGTCTGAGGCGCTGCAAGGAAGCCCATGTGGTTGCAAGAGGGAGAAAGGGGAACAGCAGGAGGAGGCGAGGGCAGACAGGGGTAGGGCAGAGCAGGCAGGGCCACATGGGCTGCAGGCAGGACTTGGGCTTTTGCTCTAAGGTGGAAGTCATGGACGGTTCCAAGCAGAATCACAGATTCAGGCTCACAGAGCAGCAAGAACCAGTGTAGCTGGAGGGGAGTGAGCTATAGTAGAGCCAGAGAGGAAAGGTGAAGGAGGTAATGGGGGTCGACTGTGTGGGGCCTTCCGGACTGGCCAAGAGTTGAGATTTCATTTTCACACATGTCCAAAGTCACGGAGGCCAGCTGCACCCTCATACCTGTATGACTCCTAAGCTCAAGTTCATAACTGCATAAGTTGTTCCCTAAGCAACTGAGAGTTCCTGGGTCTCAGATACCTGGTCTGCAAATGGGGATATTCCATCCACTTGGCCAGGTTGTGGTGAGGGCCAAATTATACACACGTCAAATTATGCCAAATGATATTTTTCTTTGTAATGGAGAATTCCTGCTCCTGTCCTTCAGGTCACCTCTTCTTGGAGGCCGTCCTGGATTTAGTCAGGCCCCGGGTCTGCAACACATCCTCATGAATCCATTCATTTGTTCGTTCATTCACTCATCTGTTCATCAACACCCCCAATATATGCTCAGCACCCCTGCCCGGAACTGCCCTCTCCTACTCCACCTCCACTGACTCACCTAGACTACTGTAGCTGCCTCCTCCGAGTCTCCTGGCCTCTGCCCGCACCCTCCACGGCTTCTTATCAACACGACAGCCGGAGTGATCCTATAAAACATAAGACATGTCACATCCATCCTCTGCTCCACCCCCTCTGAGGGCTCCAACCTCACTCTGAGTGAAGGTCAACATCCTCCCCTAGGCCCATAGGCCCTGAAGAGCTGTCCTGTCAGCTCCCTGCCCTCACCTCCTCCCACTCTCCCCCCCCTTGTTCATCCCCTCCAACTACATGAGACTCATCCCTGTTCCTCCAACACACTAGGTCCAGTGTAGCCTCAGGGCTTTTGCACTGGCTGTTCCCGCTGGTATCTATCTACCCAACTCACTCGTTTGTTGTGTTCTCCAAACGGGCAACGAGTTTTATCTTATATTCATCCCTATATTCTTAGTGTAGAGAACAGTGCCTGGCATACAGCAGGGGCTCAATAAACATTTTTTGAATAAAGGAATGGATGAATGAGTGATCCTAATCTTCACCAGTCCACCAGCCCCTGTGCCCAGCTCTGGGGAAACAAAGGGGCAAAGCATATAGTCCCTGCCCTCAAGAGGGCAGTCTCCCTAGTAAAAACACAAGCCCCACCTTCATAGTTCCCCATCCCTTGCTTCCCAGCATAGTGCTGGGCCCAGGGTAGGTGCTTCATCTGGCCACGAAGACAGGGAGAGCATCTTCTTCACCTTCACTGTGGTTTTTTGTTTTCATGCCCTCAAAACCAATGCTGTGGAACAACTTCTAATATATTAATTACCCATTTGGATTTGCCCTTCTGTGAACTGCCTGTTTAGGTCTTTGCCCATTTTTAAAAATTGCATGCTGCCTGTTTGTAATGGCAACGCCCATGTTTGTTTGTTTGTTTTTACTGACCATTATATATTATGGATACTAGTTTTTGATTGGTTAGCTCATCTCACTATCCACAGCACCATCACTGGATCTAGCACAGTAGGCACTCATGCATATGTGACAAAAAAATAAACTCTGAATTAATAAACCAGTACTGCCCCTCAAGTAATTTCATTCTGATCAATGATGCTTAAAAAAAACAAAAACAAAAAACTACCATTGTTTCCCCTCTCCCCTCCCCCCACACATCTTAGCAGGATGCTAAGAACATGAATCTGGAACCTGATTTCTCTACTTACTAGCTGTGTGACCTTGAACAAATATCTTAACCTCTCTGAGCTCCAAGAAAATCAGGCATGTGTTTGGAACAGTCCCTGGCACATGTAAGGGTTCCACAGATGTTAGGGATTATACTATTTGTATCTGTACCAACTTCCAGTCTGTTGTCAAGATTCAACATTTCTCCTTTTCGCAGGGCCCCCACATCCTGATCACCAATTCCCAAACTCCTTACTCTGCCTACACTCTGCCATGGTTCAGGTGTCTTCTGTGTTCTCACTTGTGTGGTGGAAAATAACAGTGGTGGGGAAAATGGGTGATTAATGAATTTGTCTTCTAGGCCAGAAGAGGCAGGGTGGCCTGTGTTCAAATCCCACCCCTACCACTTACCAGTTGTGGGCAAGTCACTTCACTTGATGGTGCCTCAGTTTCCTCATCTGAAAAAATTGGACAGAATTCCTGCTTTTCAGGGCGCTTATGGGAATCCAAACAGATCATACTTCTAACCCGATTCGCACTTCACTTGACATTCAAGCTGTTTTAATGAAGCTGCTATTACTATTATCCTTGTTAGCACTGCGTCCTCCACAGCCCCGCCCAGGAACCCCAGTCCTCTCTGCAAGCAGACACCAGGACACCTCTTCCAGGCAGCCTTCCTAGCTTTCCCCAGCCTGTTGGAACCACCCCTGCAGTCCAGACAGCTCAGGCCCATGAACTTAATTACACATTGCCCCGGCAGAACTCTTGTCTTCCAGTCTTAAGCTGTTATTGAACTTCATGTCTCTATTTTAAAATGCAAACCAGATCGAGTTACTCCCCAGCCTCTAATCTTCCAACAGTTTCCCACTTTATGGAGGAAAAGCTCTAACCTCTTTAGTGGGACCCAAGACCCCCGCAGAATCACTGCTTTGGCTACATCTCCTGCCCCAGCCACACTATTCCCAGCTTGGACCAGCCACAGAGCTTTTGCCTGAGCTGTGCCCCCTGCCTCATCTTGGCAGGGCTGGCTTCTTCCTATCATTCAGACCTCAGCTCCAAAGTCACCTCCTTAGAGAGCCCCTCTGGCCCACAGTTTCTACCACACCACCCCCTCATATTTTATTCATTGCTCTTACCATTGTCTGCAGTTATTTTTATTTACTTGTTAACATGTGTGTTGCCTGTGTGCCCCACAATAAAATGGCACCTCTCCGAGAGGAGGGATTTTTGCCTTGCTCGCTATTGTATTCTCTGTGCTAAGACTGCCTGACCCTGACACATAGTAGGTACTCAATAAATATTTAAAGAATGTGTCTTACCCCCTCAGACTACTCCCTGAAGTTCCCATCATTAGAACATGCCTGCTGTGGAACTGCTAACTGCCACCCCCTCCTCACATTCCCAGTCGCCCCTCAAACCCGATCACAGGGATGAAGAAAAGGAGTTGCAGCCTGGCCATCAAGCAGATAGGCTGGAATTCAAGCATCTCCACGCTCCCTTCGGAGGGCCTGAACTTAGCAACTCCACAGCCACACAGAAGTGCAGTTGGGGGAGCAGGAAGTGAGGAAGGGGAGCTCACACAAACTGGGGGAGGTGGGTGCCACACCCAGGCTCCCCTTTCCAGGAGGGTATTGCTTTGGAGAGTTGGGCCGGAGGCCTCTGATTCAGTCTTGAAAAACCGGCTCCAAGTGTTATGGGGAGAACGCCCTACCGCCTGGGCCTCAGCTCAGGCTTCCCAGGGGCCCAGCAGGCACAGGACCTCAGGTCCGGGCCCCCTACCCTATCTCCGATGTGGACGTCTCTCTCTTCTCAGGACTCAGGTATTCTGGCCTTTCCAGCTGAGGGGAGAGGGGACAAGGGAAGAGCTTCCTGTTTGGGCAGCTGGTGTCTGGAAACTCCTGGATGGTGGGGGGGGCGCGGGAAATAAACTAGCAGGTGTGGCCCAGATGGTATGTATGGTTGGGGGTGGAGACTAAGGGGCCACCAGCAGCTGACAAGAGGAGCTGGTCAGGAACACCTGTGCCCATGGAGCCACTGGGCACCTAGTCTAGTGGTTGAGACTCCAGTTCTGGACTCTGAAGCACGGGTACGGGTCCCAGACCTACCACTTACTAGCTGTGTGACCTTGGGTAAGTCATTCCACTTCTCTGGGTCTGGGGCTTCACCTCTGAAAGAGTAGTTGCATCTTCCAGGAGATGTTTAGATTCAATGATACCCAAGGAAAATGCCTAACACGGAAGCGTTCAATATATGCCAGCCGAGGTTATTGTGTCATCATTATTACAGGGACCTCTCCAAGTACCCCTAAGCCCTGAAGGATTGGGTCGGAGGCAGCTCAGGGGAGGTGCCCGGGCAGGGCTCAGAAATTCCGATCCCGCGCCTATTCCCTCCAGGACAGGTATAACCAGTGGGTTGCAGGGGGCAGAAGTGGGTCTGGGAACCCCATCCTGAGGGCGGGCGGCATTGGACCCCTGTCCCCAGCGGAAAGGGGGAGGCGCCCCTCTGGGAAGAGGCCTCGGACATCCTCGTGCCCAGCGTAGCCTCCAGCTGAGTCCGTGGGGCCGGCCCCACCCCACACGAACCGCCGGATCCCCGAGGGTTCGCGATCCCGCAGGTCCGCGCTGGGGTCCCCAAGCGGCCGCGCCGCGCCCCACCCGCCGGGCACACTCACCTGCGCCGCCGCCGCCCTGCGCGCTCCCGGCTCGGCCCTCCGCAAACTCCGGCCGGGCCTCTCCCGCAGCGGCGGCTGGAGGGCGGGGTCGGCGCCCGCGTCCAGCCAATCAGGAGCGGCCGTCCGAAGCTCGCGGCCAATCCACAACGCGCCTTCCCGCTTTGGGTGGATCCGACGGACACATTCCAGAGGGATCCCTCCGCCTCCCCCGACTCATCAAGAACCCCCTCACCGCGGCTCAGTGGACCTTCCCACCCCGCCTAAGCCGCGGTGGACTGTACCACTGCACCTCACTGAGGGGGAAGCTGTGGCTGGACCGCGGCCAATCGCGGGGAAGAAAGGAGACAAGCCACCAATGGGAAGCTGGGGTCCCTGGGCCACGTGCAGTTGGCTAAGCGTCCGCGGTGGTAAGCGGCGAGAGGGCTGGTCGTGGGAGTCAGGTGATCCAGGCTGAGTTCTGGCAAGAAAATGAGAAGTCCCAGTGTCCGGAGAAGGGGTCCCTTTAGGAGACCTGGGAGGGGGCCGGGGTCAGCCCCCAATCCTATCCTCCGCCCGTACTGCCCCGGCCACAGCCGGCCATCCTCCGAGCGGATAAAAAGATGCATTCATTACGGCGGGCTGGCGGGCGGGGGACCCTGATGAATAGGGAGGGTCCCGATTGTCTCTGCTTCCTGAACTATACAATGGACAAGGGCTTTTATTCGTTCATTCATTCATCAAATATTTAATGTGAACCCTGCTCCGTGCCTGGCTGTGCCCTATCTCTACAGATACGTCAACCAGGAAGCCGAATGTACTCCTGGGAGAGAGAATGGCGCGTGCAAAGGCCTGGAGGCTAGACAGAGAGATTTCAGCACCCTTTAGGATATAGTGCAATATCGTAGGAGCTAGCAAAGCAGTGTGAAAGGACGGGATGGCCTATTTGTTGGTTGGTTAGACCAGAGAATATTTACTGAACATATACTATGTGATAGATTACAGAGGGTACCCAGCCGATCCCAGTCTGCCCTCAGGGACCTGACCTTTTCACGAGTCGGCTTCGTCCGTCTGCTCCATCCCTTACCCTGTCCTCGCCCTACCTCGGTCCCGACACTGGCACAGAGCAGAGTCTCAGCACACATGTGTGTATGGAAGGCCCAGGTAATCTCACCATCGCCAGGTTTGGCTTGTAACCGGGATTTCTCAGGCGGGAGCAGGTCCAAGAAACAAAGACAGAAACGCACCTCCCGCAGGGCTGGACGCCCAGTTCCAGAAACAAGGTGAGATTTCCTAGTTCTACTTCAAAGCTGGCCTCTTGGGCAGCTGGGGCTGGATCAGGAGTTCTCCGTGTATTCTGGGAATCGTAGTTCTTCGAGGCCTCTGACTGCTGCGACCCTGCTCAAGCCTTCCTGAATGACTGGGTCCTTGCTGTCCCCAGGATGAGCTTCTGTGCTTCCCAGACACGCCACGGCCTGCAGAGGAGCAAACTGAAAGGGGAGAATGAGCGCTGGGTTTAGCTGCTGGGCTGCCCAGCAGGCCCCACCCAGTTGGCAAACACTGTGGTTGCCATGGCAACAGGCACAGCTATTGTCCTTCTCTTCCTGTTCTGCTGACCTCTGCCACCCACACTGAGCAATCAGTTGCCTTAGCGGGGCCAGTGTCCTCCATTGGATTGTACCCATAGCCCTGCTTGCCCCTGGCATCTTAGCTGCCCCCCACATACCTGGAGAGGACAGTTGTGGGGCTGTAGGGAGAGCTGAGTCCTGGGCCGAATCCACCTGCATCCACCTGTTGACTCCCAAGGAAGTGCCCCAGGGAGGGGGTGAGTGGGTTGTCCAAGAGCAGAGAGCAGTGCCAGACACCTCCTTTCTGATTTTATAGCTCAAGAAGAGTGCCTGAAAACTGAGGCTGAAAGGTCCAGCTGGTGAGGAGCTCAAATTTGAGTGGCCTCTCTGCCTCTTTGAGGAAAAAAAAAAAAAAATAGAGCAGAGAGCAGTGCCAGACACCTCCTTTCTGATTTTATAGCTCAAGAAGAGTGCCTGAAAACTGAGGCTGAAAGGTCCAGCTGGTGAGGAGCTCAAATTTGAGTGGCCTCTCTGCCTCTTTGAGGAAAAAAAAAAAAAAAATCTGGAATGCCAGCTAATAGATGCAGAAGGGAAGGTTGAGTTAGAAAATCCCCATTTTGCAGCCAGTAGAGGAAAAATTGATTCAGGCTAGGCTCCTTAATGCAAAGTAGATATTCAGACAATCTCAAAGGAGCAGGATACAGATTACTTGTTAATTACAATAGGAAAAAGGTACTTTGGAAATGGCACAGTGGAGAAACCTGGCAGCCACCACCTTCACCAAGTGATCAAAGTTAAATCACCAGGGATGGGAGAGGCCATCCTCGGAGTCTTCTGATGTGTTGTACTGAGGACACATCACCTGTGAAGCACTTGGTGCTGCTCAAGGTGTTTAACCTGAATCTAATCATGAGGAGACAATCAAACATACCCTGACTGAGGGACATTAAAAAAAAAATGGCCTGAACTATTCTAAGTCATGAAGGCAAAATCAATCCATTAAGTGAATGAATTAATGCATGAATAAAAGGCTGGGGGACAGTTCTAGATTGAAAGAGACTAAAGAGAGAAGACAAGCAAAATCAATGTGTACAATCCTTGATAAAAAATTTTTTACAAAATGATAAACCAGCCATGAAAGATACTTTTAGGATAATTGAGCATATTTTCATGTTGAATGGGTATTAGGTAATAATATTGTATTCATGTTAAATTCCCTGAGTGTGAGGATTAGACTGTGGTTGGTTAAGAGTATGTTCTTATCCTGATGAGAAATATGTGAATTATTTAGTGGTCAATTTGTGTTGGCTGCAACTGTCAAATGGTTCAGAAAAAAATATATCTGTATACAACATTTTATATACAACGTCATAATATGGTGTGCATTCATTAGTGTAGGTACAGGGGAGGGAGGGAGAAAGAGAAAGCAAATGTGGTGAAGTCGTAGCCATTGCCACTGAATCCAGGAGAGTGGTATATGGGTTTTCATTTTACTCTTCTTGTAAGTTTTCTATAGTTTAGAAATTTTAAAAATAAACATTGGGGGAAAAGACTCCCCTTTCCCTCCCATCCCCAGAGGCAATACTCCAGTGGGTTTAATGTGCACCTTCTTTGTGTCTTTCCTTGAAGATGTGCATTGTTTTGTGTGGGTGTTGTATTATATTTGATTTCGTACTTTCTTCTCCCCCACCCCACCCCACTCAGCACCCACTCAGTATTGCTTGCTTGTTTTGCACTAGGCCTTGAAGGTCCATCCAAGCTAATCTCTTGAATTTGTTTTCTTCTAACGTTTGCTTGGTGCTTCACCAGATGCATCCCTCATATCTTACTCCTCTGTCCCCTGGGGATGGGTACCACGCAGGCTCTAGCTGCCCACACTGCAGTGACAGCTTTGGACATGCCCCCTTAGGGACCTGGTGAGACTCTCCCTAGGACAGAGACCTAGATGCCGAGATGCTGGGTCACAGGATGCTTCAGTCGACCCTGACATGTGACATCTCTCTGGGTGGGTGGGTTGCACTTTCCTCAACTTGCGGCCTGACCCTGAGATGTAGGAGGCAGGGGTGGACCAAAGAGGGATGGTGCCAAGAAATATTGGCCTGGCCAGTGTGACCTTGGAGTTTGATTGCCTGGCTCTGTGGCCTGTGGTTGGGCTCCCCGCATTAGCCACGCAGGACTGGACTCAGCCACACAGGACTGACTCTGCCCAGGCTGGGTCCTGTGGCCCCTGGTCTCAGCCCCAGCGTGGGCACCTGTCTTTGGCTGCTGGATTTTAGGAAGTCATGATAATAGCCAGCAGCAGTGATATTTTCTGGAAGGCCAGTGGACAGCACTCTTTTCAAAATACATCTCCAATTTTTTCCCACTACCACCTGGTCCAGGATCTCCAGCCAGTGACTTCTCCCTGATTACCCAGCAGTGCCCTAGCTCCAACCCCCCACAGTGGCCAGAGGTGGCCTGCCCGTTCTCTGAGGATGACCCCCACCAAGAGACCATGTGCCCACCAACACCCTTTGCTGCAGTAATTCTTCTGGAGTCAGGCCCAGCCATACTGATTTCTAGCATGACCTCCCCGAGCAAAGTGGGGCCCCCAGTGAGACACACCACCCAGGTCTCAGCTCTGACTTACAGGCGAAAGCAAATCACACCATGCTCCTCCTGACTCAGACTCTCTCAACCTGCTGCTGCTCTGCCCTCAGGCACACACAGGCCTGCCCGAGCAGCGCCCTAGCACCTGGCCCGTCTCATCCCTGGGCATGCCCACCCTATGCTCTCCTGCTCTTTCTGTTCCAGCTACACGAAGCCTGGGTGCCTCACAGTCCTCAGCTCAGCCCTCCTCTGTCCATACCCCTCAAAGTCTGTCTAGGAGCCTCCTCCACAGGGCCTCAGCCCCAGTGGCCTGTCCCTGAGCTCAGACAAACCCGTCTCCCCAGCCTGTGGGCCTGGGGCATGCCAGACCTCATCCCTTCCAGCTCTCCGATCATGAGAAGTGTTTTGCCCTGTGTGTGATAGGTGGGTTGGTGCCCCCTGCTCCAAGCTAGGTTCATGTTCCTGAACCCATGAATGTGGCCTAATTTGGAATAAAGGTCTTTGCAGAAGAAGAAATGAAGGATCTTGAGATGCGATCATCCTCTTAGGGTGGGCCCTGAATCCAACAAGTGTCCGTATAAGAGACAGAAGACCCAGAGACAGGCGGAGGGAAGGGCTGTGTGAAGATGGAGGCAGAGATTGGAGTGCTATAGCCGCAAGCCAGGAAGTCCGAGTGTTGCCAGCAGCCCTCAGAAGACAGGAGAGAGGCATGGGCCCAATTCTCCCTCAGGGCTTCCAGAAGGGTCCAAACCTGCATATATCTTGGTTCAGATTTCTGGCCTCCTGAATTACAAAAGAATTAATTCCTGTTGTTTTAAGCCACCCAGTTTGTGGTCCTTTGTTATGGCAGCTGTAAGAAACTAACACCTCTGTTTCAGGGCTGTGTTTTCTGGAAGACTCTTCTCACAGGTTTGCTTCTCACCAGGTCTCCTAGAGCCCTCAGGAAGTGTGCCAAATGACTAATATATGAATTGTGAAGTAGGAACCGGACCCCAGGAAAGAGGGGCTTTCCTGGAGCCTAAGAGAATATACACTTCTCCCAGGCGGGGCTCAAGGGACTCTTTCCTAAGTGGAATGACCACCACCAGTCTCCAGGGCTAGGTTGTCCTCCTCTGCATACGTCTTGACATGAGCGGTCATAGGACAAATGTCTGAATCACTTTGTCACTTAGTTACTCATTCAACAAACACTCAGAGGTCAGTTCTGGGCTAAGCACTGCTCTGGGCCCTGGTGATACAAAGGTTAATAGGGCATGGTCAGTGACCTCAAGAAAACTTGGGTGTTCTGGAGGGGAGCCTTCTGGAGTGTTCCTGAGGCTGTCTCTCCTGCCCTCATGACACAAAGAGATATATGACTGAATAATAACAGAGTTTGAGAACTCTAAAGAAATCAGACGTCCTCCCCCCAGCCCCTCAGGGCAAGCATGGAATTAATCAGCAGACCAGGAAAGCATTCTGGGTCTGTGGGAAGGAGCCTGAGTATGTGTACTCCAAGGGACTAGGTTTTTTTTTTAATTTTTAAAAAATGTTTTATTAAGGTATGATTGATACACACTCTTATGAAGGTTTCACATGGAAAAACAATATGGTTACTACATTGACCCATATTATCAAGTCCCCACCCATACCCCAATGCAGTCACTGTCCGTCAGTGCAGCAAGATGCCACAGATCCACTATGTGCCTTTTCTCTGTTCTCCCCATGATCTCCCACACCATGTGTACTAAACATAATACCCCTCAGTCCCCTTCTCCCTCCCTCCCAACCCGTCCTCCCACACCCCTCCCCTCAAGGGACTAGGTTTTAATAGAAAATATCCACACTTACGATTGGTGGTGTGCTATTTTGAGATGGAAGGTTGGTTCATTGAGACATAGCTCAGGGACTTTAAGTTATCATACAATCATTTGATCAAATGACATCCCTCACCCACCCGCAGCAACAAAGGAAAATTAAGACAAAGCTGAAACCAGAACCTTCAGAGGCTCCTCTTCACTCAGGAGGAGATGAAGGTCTCCTGGTGGGCTGCCCAGTCCTACACCGTCCGCCTTGTCACATCTGCCCTCAGCTTCTCCCACTCACACCTCACTCTGCTGCAGCCTCACTGGGCTCCTGGCTGGTCCTTAAACAATTCAGGCATGCTCCTGCCTCA